TATACTCGTCTTACAATCGGGCGCTAATTCACTTCAATCGTCAATATCTCCGTGTAAAATCATTCGCAAAGGGCCTGAGTATTGCATTGTCAAGCTGTCCCTGACTGAGATAATCTAGCTTTGGTTAGTAATCTACGCATAGCTACAGACGGGGCCCTAAAGGGCTGATGTTCAGCCGGGGTTGCGGGGTAAGCGCAATGAGGCACCGCGACCTCGGCACAGAGCAGGAGAAGGAACAGGGGGGTTTTTAGTCAGTAACAGTCTGACACTCCCTCCTGCCCGGTCCTGGGCGGGATGATTTTCCACTCACAACAAAAAAAAAAACGCATAGCTAGGTTAGGTTTGGTAAATTTTCCTTTCTCCAAAATCCTAAGATTGTTCGTAACGCACTCGTGTCACATCAGTGTTAGCAGGTAGATAAGAAAGCAGCTTATGGTAGAGAAAATTTAAAATTAAAAAACCCCCGACAAAAAAAACTAATATCCCTTTAAATAAGTAATAATTTTAAAAAACGTGGCGTTGGGGGACCGATCCATATATTTTATTATCTACTACATATTTCTATTTTGTCGGGTGTCTAATTATTTTTTTTTACTTTATGTACCTTTACCTACTTTTTATAGGTATTTTATATCATTTTCTCTCAATTAAGTCATCAACATTCCCTTTCAGTGCGCTTTCATTTGACACCCCACACGAGTATATTTGCAGTCCTTTGGTTACCCTTCCCCACTTATCCCCCATAACTTTTAAACGGCTCAATAGATTTCCGTCAAACATATCTAAGAACACTTGCACGTAAGTCACCTTTAATACAAACAAAAACTAAATTGAAATCGCTTCATCCGTTCAGGCTCCAGGATGCCACAGACAGACAGACAGACACGTCAAAGTTATAACACCCCTCTTTTCCCGTCGGGGGTTAATAAATCTTTGATTACTTCTCTCACTCAGGGTGAGGCGAGGAGAATCAGACTCCTTCTGCTTTCTAACCCATCGTCCCTTCTACTGTTCCAGGACGGGGCCATAGTAATTGGCTACGGTCTAAGCAGTAAGCTAACTATAAAATAAACGGTAAGTTTTGTGGCTGTCCAAACTAAAATTAAGTAGGTATAAATGCGAAAGTAACTCTGTCTTTTCTTCACACCTAAACCACTGAACCGATTTCTGTAAAATTTGGTGCAGACATAGTTTGAAACTCGAGAAAGGACATAGGAGAGTTTTTTTACCAAAATCTGTAGGAAGTCACTATTCCATGCGAACGGAGTCGCGGGCAAAAGATAGTTTCGTATAAAATAGCTTTTTTTCAATCTACCCTACAAAAATCATTTTCTCTCAGGCGTTATTATTACCTATTTACATTTACCTACTTGTTTTATCCGCGCGTGGGCGACAAAATAAAACCAGAGGGATTTGATACCTACGTTTTAAAAGTAAGTAAACATTATTCATGTGATTTTCTATACATATCTACTAAACATAGAGGTTCAGTAAATTGATATAAAAGGTGAACTGACCTTTCTAGACGCAGGATTAATGTGGGTGGCGAGTGTTTATAAAAGGTTAGGTACATTGAATCTCTTTTCTTTATTTAGGGATATTTATATTTATTTTTTAATTACAGTAAAGATAACTTTGTCAGGATTATGAACTGCTTTTTTTATTATATTTTATATCCATACTAAGATTATAGAGGAAAAATTTGTAAGTTTGTATGTAGGGGGTTTTCTTTGGATTGCCAAAATTCTTTCACTGATAGATAGCTACAATGTTCCTGAGTGCTATAGGCTATAAACATCACGCTACTATCAAATGGAGCCGAGCAGTGGGTGTAAGGGCGTTAGAGTAGCTAGTTTATTATATTAGGACAGCCGCTGCAACTCCTGTAAGCCCCAAAAACACCGAAGCACTGAAGACTTGCGCTTTCCAGAGACACTCGCAACGCCGAGTCAACATAAGTACCAAACCAATTAAAATAAAACAAAAATATTCAGTTTCTAAACTATATTATAATAATCAAAATTAAATCTAAACGAAATTTACACTTAACATAATATGAGAACACAATATATTTACAGCAATTTACATAGGTACCTACACTTCGATATTACGAGTTATTTTTCTTAAAAATTACACTCAATTCGAAAAAGTTTTCGTGCTAAAATCAAGAAGGTTGTTTCGGAGCTAACATAAAATATTGAAAAACCCAAAAAACCTAAAACAGCAGAATATCGCCTGTCTAACAATGACGGTTCAAAAGTAACAGCCTTATGACAAACAGGCATGAGGCTTACAACCGGTTTCCGAAAGGCCGATCAGTTTTAAAAACAATTTATTCTCTTGTCAAGTCATCTGATTGGTTGACTTAATTATCAACAACCAATCAGATGACTTGACAAGAGATTTAACTGAATTATCAACAACCAATCAGATGACTTGACAACAGATTTGACAGGAGATAAATTAATTCAAGCCTTTAAGAAACCGGGTGTTAATCTAGTTTTTTTACATATAATTTGACGTGCTAAAGTGTCGTTTTATGGCCTTATTTGCAAAAATAAATTCATTGTTTTATTATTTTAAGGACAGCAGAGTCTTAGTTACTGGTTTTTCCCGTTAGCAAAGTCAACAGCAATTCTTTATATAGATATTTAAAATAATGTAGGAAAAAAATAGTGACAGTAATTAGGACAGACTAACACCCGGTTTCTGAAAGGGTTGTCAACGCTAAAATTAACTAATCTCCTGTTAAATCTCTTGTAAAGTCATCTGATTGGTTGTTGATAATTCAGTCAACCAATCAGATGACTTGACAAGAGATTAAATTGATTTTAACATTGATCGGCCTTCCGGAAACCGGGTGTTAGTGCATTTTTGTTGAACTAAACTAGTTCACGTTAAAGTTCAGTTCGTTTTCGTAATATTTTCAGAGTAGCCCCAACTTATGGCTGCAGGATCTTTTTCGTGAGTTTGAAGTGAGTAAGATACGGATCACATATGTAAAGAATGTGTGTAGGAAGTTGTGTGACATAGATAGTAAGTTTTGGTTCAGAATATTTTTGACGTAGCGAACATGGTCGTCATTCATTTTACATTGCTTATAATCCAGTAGTTATTGATAGCTTATCACTGTTATACTATCGTACATTTCCTTAACCATACAGCCACAAGTTTTAAGCCCCAAAAGCAAGTCAGAAGCGAAAGGAAAGAAAAAATATTGAAAATGAATCTTAAAAACAAACACTTAAGATATAAATTGAACTAAAACAATATATTTAATTTAATTCAGTTAAATCTCTTGTAAAGTCATCTGATTGGTTGTTGATAATTCAGTCAACCAATCAGATGACTTGACAAGAGATTAAATTGATTTTAACATTGATCGGCCTTCCGGAAACCGGGTGTTAGTGCATTTTTGTTGAACTAAACTAGTTCACGTTAAAGTTCAGTTCGTTTTCGTAATATTTTCAGAGTAGCCCCAACTTATGGCTGCAGGATCTTTTTCGTGAGTTTGAAGTGAGTAAGATACGGATCACATATGTAAAGAATGTGTGTAGGAAGTTGTGTGACATAGATAGTAAGTTTTGGTTCAGAATATTTTTGACGTAGCGAACATGGTCGTCATTCATTTTACATTGCTTATAATCCAGTAGTTATTGATAGCTTATCACTGTTATACTATCGTACATTTCCTTAACCATACAGCCACAAGTTTTAAGCCCCAAAAGCAAGTCAGAAGCGAAAGGAAAGAAAAAATATTGAAAATGAATCTTAAAAACAAACACTTAAGATATAAATTGAACTAAAACACGTTTTTTACATATGCTTATGAACTTATGGGGTGTATGTCTATTGACCCCCACAGGCCTATTGACCCCACAATGTTAGAAAATGTATAAATACCTTATTTAAATCCCCTTTACATCATATTGCTGAGGTTTTAAACATGCCTTAAACATAATCACTTATTTATAACTAAATTCCTTGCATTCGAACTGAGATATAATAGTAAAATTCACTCAATACACTAAGATATCAAAAAAAAAAAGAAAAGTACAACATAATTTCAAAATGTATACATAAAAAAATAAATAATACGTCAGATTAGGAACCCACCAAGCCATTCCCGTCGTTTTCCGACGAGGGTTAAAGTGGCGGGACTAAAGACCCCAGTCGAATTAGTTACAGGGTCTTTTGTAGACACTAAAATTAAGAGAAAGTTTGTTACTTAAGCTAGATTTTAATTTAGTTAATTGTTAGTAGTGAGTTTAAGATATTTTTAATCCCAGAAGGGGCCCATCAGAAGACCCACACTATGTTTATGTAGTAAATCTGGTTAAAATCATATTATACATAACAACAAAACTAAGAAAGAAAAAGTCATAGTCATTTTTTTGCCAACTTTTGATTAGTTCATGTCACACAAGGTTATTTAAGACACTACTTCAATAGAAAAAAAAAATTTTTTTTTGACATGGTAATCTTAATTGAACTGGGACAATCAATAATTTAAAGCGGGAACTAAACAGGAATCTATTAAAGCAAAACTAGCGTTAATAGATTCCGGTTAACAAAAGTGAGTTGTATTTGTTCAAATATTGTAAAAAAATATTGCAGACTGTTGTGATAATATAAGTTCAGTTGCAATTACAAAGTCACACCTGTCATTTATCACCAAAAATATTGTCCTTCTAATAAAGTAGTTTGTTAATCTAAAAACAATATTATACACTAATACTAGTCCAAAATCACGAATACAAACCTCTTTGATCTCAGTCTAAAGTTGAGTAACTATTTTATAAAACCTTTTTTGACATGACATTGTCGGAAAGTGTACACCATAAACTAAACAAAACATTGAGAAAAAATCCACAGTTATATTATGAAATCTTAGTAGGTAAGAAAAACATAGCTACAATCCAGTTGTCATGTTTTACATGTCTCTTATTAAGAATTAAACGCGTCAAGTTACCTTCGCAACAATATAATGTGGAGTTACACAAAAAAAAAAATTATAAAATAGTTACTTGTACAACTTTCTTGACTGTGATAAACTCCAGCATCATAATATAGTGATGCTTAACAAATTTGCACTATATAAGAATTTCAAGTCCATCTTTTTCTCCTTTGACATTTACAGTAGCGACTAATATTTGGTCATCTGAAATTAAAAGAAAGACAATATAATAGAAAACATCCTGTTTGAAAAAAATAATGAATGTTGCACAATAAAAATTAATGACTGCTTTTGTTGATCTACTAGTAAAGTAGTGTGGAAAAAGAGAATGGTAGTTATATGGCATAAATTTTCATAATGACTTCTAATTAAATGCTAATAGTATGATATTTAACAGCTTTCCTCAATCACTGAATCATCCTACACAAAAATATATGTTCAATTCAAAACAATAATCCTGGCGATTAAAAACAAATTTTTGAGGTTTATTAAAGTCCTCCTACTTCTAATATTAATAAATGTATAAGTTTGATACTACCTATCAATAGATGTTTCATAATAGATATTATTGTGACTTCATACATAATCTACTGAACAGATAGATTTTAAGTCTGGAATATAAAGACAATGTTTTAAGACTGAGGGTGGATTAGCTGGCAGAAAAGTGTATTTAGAGTATAATCTACAATAAAGAGTTACTCATTTAATTACAAAGGTTTCATAAATAGTAATTAGTCAAATGTAAGATAGAAAACCGATGCAATTTCTAAAATTTACTCTTTCTAAGCGCCATTATTGGCCATAGAGTTACCTTTGTTATTTTAATTAACCTTTCAGTGGTGACTTTTAATTGATATTCATAATATCCCAGCTAAATGTCAAGTAAAGGTTCTTTATCATTGTTTATAAATAACATATCATCAGAACGGTTGACTGCTTTATTACTTTGTCAAGCGTTGGGTTTAAGGATTAAATCTTTTTTATTTTGAGGCTCATAAAATGGCTCCTCCCACAGTGAGTGGGATGAGTGTCAGACTCTTACTGACTAAAAACCCTATACAACCTGGGCCACTGGACCAGTATGTCATTAAATGCAACCCTGTTCAGATGTTGGATTCATATTATCATTACTGAATAAATTGTTCTATCTGTGTTAACATTTCAATCATAAACAATCAGAATCAGAACAATAGGTGCATGAATGTCAGCGTTAGCTTGGGGTTTGTTGAATTATTTTAAGTCTTTCACAGAACCACCATTGAACCAATGTCAAAAGTCACATAATCACACAAAAGTCTATAAAAGCGAGACAAAAAATTTCCCTATTCTCTCCCTACAACAGTTTACAACTCATCTGAACCACTACCTACATTTTCAAAATTTTTTTTTTTTTTTAAAAGTTGCCCCACACTAGGATTTTCTCCTGTGTCGTGGGTGCGTTTACAAACATACAATTTCACATGAACATCACAACCAGACCCGGAACAACAATCTGTGGATCACACAAAGAGTTGTTCCGTGCGGGAATCGAACCCGCGACACGTTGCGCGGCAGCCAGTTGCCCAGCCACCGCGCCAACCGTGCAGTCAAATTTGATGCATCACCTAGCAAATAGTTTTTTTTCGACTAGTTTCACTTGCAATATACATATGTATACTATATAACCATGACCACATAACTATGAATCATTCAGTGGAAAATTTATATACAAACAATTTTAGAACAAGTCATGACTTGACTTTTTATTAAATTGCGAGTTAGTACCTAAGTTTTAAGGCAAATGGTTGTATATTTTTAAGGCTGGTAATAAAATTTTAAGCAAATTTTTGTCCTTATCTCAAGAGATAGACAGAGAAATTCATTCAATGGTTAATAACCTCACTTTCGGTTACATTTGGCTAAATTTTTAGTCTGCAGTTACTGAGCCTTTTTGTATAGCTGTTCAACAAGCTATGGATGTTTACTTTTCAATTAGACTAATGATATGGGGTGTCCTCTAAGTTAAGGTCCCCAGCTAAGGCCTTATACTGGCCTTTCCTACAAATAAATAAGTTATTAATTCTGTCATAAATGTAATACTGACTATTGTAAATCAAATATCTCATTGTAAAAGGAAGAAAAATCATGGCCACCATTCTAACATATACAGTAGGCAGTGTACCTACTTCAATCCGTGCCTAAATTTTTTTCATCGACTATTGACTTTCTGCCAAAATCTTATAAGTAAATATGACTAAAAGAAGATACACAAAAAAGCATTTAAATTAGCTTTAATTCCAAAAAGTCATTTGATTTTCTTTTTATTCTTTATTATATTATATTCCTATAGGAAAACATGAATCATATTCATTTATATTGGTCATATAAGACAAAGGTTATTGTGAAGAGAATATCAGTTAATGTCTAGCTTTGATCCTTTAGCTAAGTATATACTGCATTTTTCAACTTAAAAAATATAATCTACTTTAATGTTTATCTTAATGACTAATAGATCAACAAAGCAGTAAAAAACACTTTAAATTTGGAATAAAAACTCATGTAGGCCTTACCTCAGCATTCCATAGGCGCTATAGAGTTGGAATTGTCTCCATATCCACTCAAACTGCCTTGGAACTCAATCCCACTGATCTGACTATCAGCATTAAACGATGCACCATAAGAATCATTGCTAGGAGCGTGCGATGTCTCAAGATTTCCGTCTCCAGAGTCTGTTGCCACCGCCGCGTCAGGTTCCGCCCAATTAATCTTAAATCTAGTCACACGGGGCTCTGAAGCGAGAATATTTCTTACTACTTTATCAAAACGGGGCTTTGGTGGCGGATTTTCGCGTAGTTCAGGTTCCGATTCAGAGTATTCGTTGTTTATGAAATATCCCACTCTGACGAATTCTTGACCTCTGTATGAACACGTTAAGAGCACTACTGTAACGCCTAGAGCGTCGTTTTCAGGTATTCGTGTCACGTCAGGCGGTGGAGCTTGGAAAACAAACATGTGCCTGCCTTCAGGTATTGGGCCAACGTATATTGTGTCTAAGACCTGGTCGTGCTCCTCGGTTTCCGCCGATCCAACGTATATCATCTTCCATTCTAAGTCTTCTTTGAGTTCTTCGATGCATTCAAATGTAAGTTCGAATTGGAAAGGGTTTAAGAACGGACTAGGATTGTCGAGTACAACAACATTGGTTATGTGCACCTTTGCCATAATTACAAGTTTTTAGTTAAGATTCACTTTAGCCAAAGGCTTAACACGTGTTTTCAAATGTTTTTGACGATAGATATACAAGAAATGCGTGGAAATTAACCGTTTTCTGCTAACGACAGAAAATTCTGTGGGTCGGCGAAAAAAATGACAATTATTTTGGCGGTTGAATTGGTCACGTGACCAAAATAAGTATGGACAGCAGCGCTGTGACGGAAATGACACGTACTAAAATTAAAAAGTTGAAACACTTTGACAGTGACTATGATAATCGAAATTGATGCTAATAAAACGAAGTATTTCGTTTAGGAAAGCATTCTAAAACAGCAAAGTGAACGACCTGCCTTATTATCTATTATTGAAATAATGTAAACTTACGTCTCTCAAAGTTTTCCTATTTGTTTTCTTTACTTTATCGGCACAACAAAACGTCAAGTAGACAACATAGACAATGATGATTTTTTTTTTTTTTTGGAGTTTATGGTAGACAATGATGAAGTGACCTCATATTGTTGCCATTTTTATCATCCATCACTGATTGTTATCTATGTTCATTATCAAAAAGTTTTTTATTTTTATACAAATTAGTGTGTTTTAATCACATTAAAATTTAAACAGAATAATGGTTTAGTAACAATGTAAATATATGCGTGATAAACGTATGATGGAAAAAACGAAGAAGTATTTCCAATCTTGCCGTAACCTTTTTTTGCTTTTTGTATGTAATTATGTTGTATAACATTCTTGTATTTTTTAATTTACTTGTTTACGCCTGAGGGCTTTTTATTACAACGGAAAAGTAAGTAAACAGAAATTTTATTGAAGTTAGATAGCCATTTTTATGCAATAGCAACAATAAAACTCCAAATGTCATAAATAATAAATATGGCGTTACTGCTTTTGTGTTCATTGTGCATGTTTTCTGTCAAATAAATAATATTGTTATTTAAAACAAAACATTATTATTTCGCAACGACACAATCAATGCGTAACCCGCCGCTATAACAATATAGCATGAAGGTCAAACGCTGACATCCTACTTTAAACAGAAGAGAAAGGTGCAAGTTTTATACTTTGAAAAAAGGTAATTATTTTTTGCGCTTTCATTCGCATTTGTACACATAATTGTTATTTAACGACAGCATCACAGTTGTGTCTTCGTCTTACATGTGTTGATTTCCGGGTTACTTTTATATTAAGCGGAATAATGGAAAGTTATTCGCGCTGTGTTGAAGTTTCCATAGTTGGATTGACTGCTTTAATAGGATGTGTTTGTGAATATTTTATAACTGAGTCACCGTCACGTCAGTGTCCCGTATGCCTTCCGCAATTAATTCCGACCATGCACTGCGTCAATTGTAGATCGTTAGTACTGATATAGGTCGCAAATCCCGACTAGCCATCTAGTTGGTATATTGTTACTGAATGCAAAACTCTTTAAAACTACAAGGCAATTATTCAAGTTTTTTTTATCGTAAACATGTTCGCGTTTGATGGATGTGCAACTTTAATTTATTGGTATTCATGTATGCATTTTAGATCAAGGTATCTTGTTTGCATTAATTATACTTTAGTAATAAGACTGTACTTAATTTACTTATAAACCGTTAAAGAGTCTTATTCACCTTAAGATAAATAAGAAGTACAAAGCCCAAAGCTGCCATTAGAGTTTAGTCTTTTGACTGCATGGAAAAGCTCTTTAAGTGATCCACAAATTGTTTTTCTTTGCCTGGGTGTCATGTGTAAGTAAAATTGTATGTTAGTGACCACACTTACGACACAGGAGAAAATCCTAGTGTGGGGCAATGTTTTATTAAAAATATTGGAATACTTAGTCTTTTAAGCTTTTACCTTATACTACCAGTGAGATAAATAATGTCACAATATCACCTTCAAAACTTAATATTATAACACAATCAAATAGAATAGTCAGTGGTCATAATTATTGTATACCAGCTTCTCTCGCGCGGTTTCACCCACTGCTCGGCATTTAATCGTAGCGTGATGTTTTATAGCCTATAGCACAGGAACAATGTAGCTATCTATCAGTAAAAGAATTTTGGCAATTCAACCAGCTGTTCCAAAGATTACCCCCTACATACAAACTTACACATTTTACCCCTTTATAATATTAGTATAGATTGTGGCAGATCTATCGATGTTTTAGTAGCATAATTACACTACATAGAAATATGCTTGAATTTTTTATATGATAATAGGCAAGCTTTAATATGTTTCATCAGTCAATGAATAATGAAATATGCATAAATGCTGTAATTAAAGACTAACATATATTAGCATAATAGTATGCAAAGACATACAGGGTGTAAAAAGACACTTAACGAAGCCGAAAGCCAAATATTCTACCCATTATTTGTATAATTTTTTTCTTTAAGAAGCTGGGACTCCACGTTTTCTCAAGATATTGAAGGTCAAAGATCCATTTTTAAATTATAATTTTTTTGCGCAATCGCATTCTAAGTATTATTACAAAACTTTTTTCCAAACAAAAATTACCTGAATTTTCGATTTTTCTAAATAAATTACGCATTTGAAGTTACGAACAGTAATGTACGTAATAAATAAATGCAGACCCGCACAAAAAACATCGTGCATCGCAGTAGGATTTTTATTTTACAGAATTGTTTTGTTGTTGCGAAGTAAAACGTCGACCTACGTACTTATCACAGCGTTTTAATGCTTAGCTGTGAACCTACGCACACAATGATACGAAGCCCGTTTGCTTTACATTGCGCGCAATAAAATTATTATTTTCTTGATGCCTAAAAATAAAAGTCGTTTCCCAGTGATAATTTTAGCGTAAAGCTACTTAGTTAGAACTGCAGTATGCGTTGTTAACGGCTTCGTTAAGTGTCTGTTTACACCCTGTATATGCATTTGTATATCAGTTACCATTGCATTCGTTTCGAATAATTGTTTAGTTCACTACTCATTACTCAAAATAATGATCTTTATTTGAAAAGTTCCTTATCTGTTGGTTTTCAAACAGATTTTTTATAGAATTGGCCAAACAGTCGGTCACAACAATCAATGGTGAGCAACCTGAGCCACCCATGGATACCCACAACAACAGAGGCTTACAATTGCCTTTGCTAGCCTCTGAAGTAACCTATCTCATCCCTTGCCCGAGCGTACGGCGCGTAGCGTTCCAGACCACCACAGACGGTGCCCTAAAGGGCTGATGTTCAGCCGGGGTTGCGGGGTAAGCGCAATGAGGCACCGCGACCTCGGCCCAGAGCAGGAGAAGGAACAGGGGGATTTTCAGTCAGTAAGAGTCTGACACTCCCTCCCGCCCGGCCCTGGGCGGGAGAAGTAATTTGATGATTTTCCCCTCACAAAAAAATCACTCATCCCTTCACACGAATATGTGTGAGAGAGCCATGCTTCGGCACGAATGAGCCGGCTCGACCAGAGCGATACCACGGCCTCACAGAAAACCAGCTTAAAACAATCATAGCGTTGTGTTTCTCCGTGTCACTGAGGTTATTGCAGGCTCAATCCTTCCACTCTTCCCGTCCCTATACGAAAACCTAATCCCCAAAAAGGCTGACCACACATCCATGGGTGACGCAAATTGCTTACCATCAGGTAATCCGAAAGCTGACTAATTTGCCGTCCGTTTCTCAATAAAAAAAAGGTTCTAGTAAGCCATGGTACAAGATTTTTTGCATTTCGAAACTTAAACTTGAAATATTTTTTTTATGTTTTATTTCCAGCAGCTGAATGAAGAATCCAAGATGGCATCTAGCAGAGAAAGAGATGAGGGTCCCGTGTACTATAGGGAGATACAGAAGAATGCATATCTTAAACGGATACCGAATGATGTTGGTGGTAGCAAGCTGAGACCGCTTACTAGTAAGGTGGGTAATCTTTTTTTTTATGTAATTTGTCGGCAAACGAGCAGACGGATTACCTGATGGTAAGCAATCAGCGCCGCCCATGGACACCCGCAACGGAGGATTTACAGGAGTGCGTTGCCGACCTTTTAGGGATTAGGGAATTGGAGATTTAGGGATTGAGGAGGGATTGGGGGCGGGGAATCTTCTTAAATTGTAACTAAATTTCATTATCATCAGCCTATAAGTGCCCACTGTTGAGCAATGGCCTCTTCTCATACGGAGAAGGTTAGAGCATTAATCACCACACTTGATCACTGCGGGTTGGCGATTTCAAACTTAAAATTAGAAATTATAAGTCTAGGTTTCCTCACGATGTTTACCTTCACCGTATGTCAGTGGTGTCTAAATACTCATAGAAAGTACAGATAACTGGGAAAAAGTCACATTGGTACATGCCAGGTTTCGAACCCACACCCCCATGCATGAGAAGCGGGCTCCTTAACCTCCGGGCCACCACGACATGTAACTAAATCTCGTGAGACAATCAAAATTTATTGATAACTAACTAGCTTCTGTAGCACGGTTTCACTCGCTGCTAGGCTCCTAGAAATTGTAACATCATGTTTTATAGCCTAAAGCCTTACTTGATAAATGTACTAACAAACGCAAAAAGAATTATTCAATTCGAACCAGTCGTTTTGGAGATTAGTGCGTTCAAAGTAACAAACAAACTCTCCGGCTTTATAATATTATACCAGCTACTCTCGCGTGGTTTCACCCGCTGCTCGGCTCCAATTAATCGTTGCGTGATGTTTTATAGCCTACAGCACTCAGGAACATTGTAGCTATCTATCAGTGACAGAATTTTGGCAATCCGACCAGTGGTTCCAAAGATTACCCGGGTGATTCTTCACATCAATTAAAAAAAAATTAATAATGTCATTATCCTCAACCGAAAATTAACGAGTCTGCTGATTAAAACACAGATAATTATTTTATTAAATTAAATCTCACCACTGCTTACAAGCAACCGATTAAAAATATTGTATAAAATAAATTACTAAGATGCTTAAAAACCTGGGAGGATAATGACTTGTTAAATAAAAGTTAAGGTTTTTTGGAGAATCACCCACCCCCTATATACAAACTTACAAATTTTACCTTTTTATAATATTAGTATAGATAAGTATACATGTACTATAACGACGACGTAGACGTCGAGTGCAAATTAAAAGAAAAGAAAACTGTTTTTATTCGGACTGAGACTGGAAGGCCAAGAACAAAAATATGCAACAATAAAAAAATACAATAAAAAGTTTGAATAGTAGTTTAGAGCCATGCTTCAGCACGAATGGGTCGGCTCGACCGGAGTTATACCACGGCCTCACAGAAAACCGGCGTGAAACAACCACAGCGTTGTGTTTCACCGTGTGAGTGAGGTTACCGAAGGCCCAATCCTTCCCCTTCCCGGACCCTTTCCCAAACCCTAAATCTCCAAATCCCTAATCCCTAAAAGGTCGGCAACGCACTCGTAACTCCTCCGTTGCGGGTGTCCACGTGAAAACAGCCTAACAAAGTTACAATAATACAACCCGGGGTTGGCGAACATGCCCAATCCGAATGGGTCGCCAATTCAGCAAACGCTGGGCACAGAGCACCCAATTAATCGTTATCTATGCTTATAAATTCGAGAAATTTCGCCCAAAAAAGCAGTAAAAAAAAGAAGCAACAAAAGAAAATCCTAATGTTCAATACTTTAACAGGAATAAAAATATGACTTTTTTCTTTTACAGAAAGTTCCACTGAAACCGATGTGGACACAGCTCTGTGTGCACAACGGTAAGACACCGTATTTAGAACAGTACCCAGAGGCTAATAGCCCAGCGGCTATAACCCATAAACCAATATGGCGGGCCTCTCTCCGATCCGCTAGGCACGTGACGGCTAGTGTCAAACCCCATTACGGAGATCAGTACGATTTTTTAATCGATACCGATAATGGTGCTATTCGGATGCTGGCTCCTGATTGGTGAGTGTTCAATTTTGTTTCCCAACTAGATACTCTCGCGCGGTTTCACTCGCTGCTCAGCTCCGTGTGATCGTAGCGTGATGTTAAATAGCCTATAGCAATCAGGAACATTGTAGCTATCTATCAGTGAAAGAATTTTGGCAATCCGACCAGCGGTTCCAAAGATTACCCCCTACATACAAACTTACAAATTTTACCTCTTTATAATAATAGTTTAGTGGTATGAGGAACAGGGTGGAAAGTTCCTCATCCTCCATTGAAAAGGGAGGATCCTCCGACCAGGCGAGGTGTTCGTGCCTGGTGGGCTACTGCCCGACGGTTGTTGTCGGGATTTTTGTATCAGTGCTAATTGTGTTGTAAACTCTTATAGCGCGATGTAGAAACTTGCACGTGATTGGTGCTGTTGTCAATGTTGTGCGATAGATGTCGCTACAAGTATAGATGTATTTTAAAATTAATTATATTTTTATTTTTAACTCTTTATAATAATGTTTTCAGGGAGTCAATGCAGGATTGGGTTACGACCCTCCGTAACACACTACACGAGTTAAAGATTCTGTCGCGCGGTGAGAATGTGTACTGTTCTGGTCCTGCGCCTCCGCCCCTACCTCCTCCTCCGAGGGCTGCTGCAAGGGATCCTACCTCCCCTTTACCGCCCACGCCACCAACTCCACCAGACAGGTAAAGAAGCAAAAATTTCTTTTTAAAGTTCACCTTATAATTAAATTCAAAATAATAGCCGCGTAATTTTTCTTTTCTTAAGTAATCAAATAATATACCAAAGAATCTGTATGTGAAACTGATTGAAAAAGAGTAACCATGGAGTTTCTTGCTCGTTCTTCTCCATCGGAATCTACACTTTGGAACGAGCAAATAGCTTCACTAATAGGACTGACCGACAGACTGACACTTTATCTTTAAGCTTTGTTTGACGTTCAAAAGTGTCTGTAAGGGTCTTATTGAAATAAATTATTTTGACTTTGACATTTATTTTGTTCTGACAATAAAACTAGCTAATCTCACGCGGTTTCACCCGCTGCTCGGCTCCATTTGATCGTAGCGTGATGTTTTATAGCCTATAGCACTCGGGAACATTGTAGCTATCTATTAGTGCAAGAATTTTGGCAATCCGACCAGCGGTTCCAAAGATTAGCTCCTAAATACAAACTTACAAATTTAACCTCCATAATATTAGTATATATAGATAAAATAATCTTAAAACACAATAACAGCGACTACGAAATTGCAGAACTTGCGTGAAAGGCGTTAACAAAGATATAAAAGTATATGGTTATAATTAATAACATATTTTATCATTTCAGAGTGCCAGGAATCGAACTAACGACCCGTCCCCCAGAAACGATACCAGAAGCACCAGAAGCTCAACCAGAAATCGAGCCCACGACGTCAACAGAAGAAGAAAATATAGATATATCGAATTGGGATGTCCCATTCACATCATTGCCGAGCACTTCACAAAATAAAGTTGAAACTAGAAAGTCTGTGGCGAAAATTTGCGGCCAAAATATATGCTTGGACGATTCAATGTTCAAAAGGACCAATATTACTGATAGTGATGAAGAATTTTTCGCTGAAATCGATAAGATGTGTAGCGAAGACGAATACACGCAAAGGGTCGTCGTCTGTAACGGGGATGCTGTCGCAGAGGGCAGCGAAAATGGGAGGTGAGTGCCTATTTTCTTATATTATAATCTGAACGTACTAGTTATGCGTTGCTTTCGTCCGTGCGTCACTGCAGGGGTGTCAACTGAAAATCAGTGTTGGGTGCTCAGTGTGCCCAGCTTTTTGCTGAGTTGGCGACCCATTCGGTTTAGACATGTCTGCCAACCCTATAGAACGCTGTGTATATGATAGGTACTGTATGTTTAGCGTATTTTTGTTTTTCTGTCTTTTTAACCTGTTTATTGTTTTTTGTGTTGTATTTTTGTTTATTTCTGGCTTTCATGTCTGATGCCGAATAAATGCATTTTCTTTCTTTCTTTCTATTTTCAACCGACTTCAAAATAAAATAATTTTTAACAAAAATAAACCGACTTCAAAACGTAAACTAAAAAGCGAAAAATAAATTTACTTTGTTTAAAGTAATACATATTTTCATTTAGTTAAATTATATAAAATAATATTTAATTACTATTTTATAATGTTAAAGTCGAAGAGTCGTAGAGTCGAGAAGTTTGCTAAAATCATATGCAAAAGAACCACTCGCCCCTACAATTTTTGAAAGTTCCCCTCGATTTCTCTAGTCTTCCATCATCAGATCCTGATTTCCTTTTCATGGGACCATTCTGGGACTATCTCCATTCCAATAAAAAAATGAATTATCAAAATCGGTTCATAAATAAAGGAGATATCGGCGAACAAACATAAAAAAGCATATATACGGTCGAATTGAGAACCTCCTCCTTTTTTTGGAAGTCGGTTAAAAAGGAGGAGGTTCTCAATTCGACCCGTATGTTTTTTTTCTATGTTTGTTACGCGATTACTCCGCCAATTGTGAACCGATTTGAACAAATCCTTTTTTACTTTTAACTAGCTCTAAAACCAGCGTGGTGATTAATGCTCAAACATTCTCCGTGTAAGAAGAGGCTTTAGCTCAAAATTGGGTAATTTTGAGCTATCCCATCGACACCCGCAATAACAGAGGCCAAGTGCGTTGCCGATCTTCTGGGGATTAGGGGTTTGGAGATTTTGGGATTAGGTCTCCTAAAATCCGGAATTACAGGTGCCTTGCCAGCCTTTTGGGGATTATGGGATTTGGAGATTTAGGGATTGGGGAGAGATGGGTGTACCTCACTCATACGGCGAAACACAACACTGTGGTTGTTTCACGTCGGTTTTCCATGAGGCCGTGGTATCACTTCGGTCGAGCCTACCCATTACACTGTTTAATAATATTTTTTTTTATTTCCAGCAACCACCAAGCAACGAATGTGACAGTAATACAAGTTTCAAACAAGGATCCACCTCACACTGCCATACCTGTCTTAGGACCCGAAACAGATGTATTCAACTTCGATTTCAAACAAAAATTGACGATAAACGAAGAGACAAAACCAAATTTCGTTAATATAGTTAACACGGAAAATAATGATTACGGCACAACGTTTTCAAAAGACTCTGATTATGGACATCTAAGTCTTACTACGACTGTGAGCCTAACAGGGACGAGTGAGCCGGAATTTCCGACTTTTCCGACTCTTCCGACTATTCCTACTCTTCCGAATGTTCCGACTTCCAATCAAAACGAGGATATCTACGAGAGACTATGCATGGCGTCCACCTCGAATCCAAAACCTTCACCGTTACCAGTGAAAAAGTTGAAAAATGTTGAAAAAACACGAAAGAGTTCTTTACCAAATCTAGAAGTCGGTGATTCGACCTACGAATATTTGTTTCCGTCGAATAATAATTCTAGTGTCACAGTCAACGCGGAAATTAATTGTAACGGCGATGGTAGAGTTCAAAATAATGGTGGTAGTGATATTAATCGGTTGAGGTCAGTCGAAAGGGCTCGTAGTCAGAACGCTTACGATGCGAATCGACCGAGAGAAGCGAGAATAATGAACACAAGTCCTAGAAGAGAAATTAAGAATGGTGAGTGTATTAATCACTACATTATAAAACAAAGTCGCTTTCTCTGTCCCTATATCACTATGTATGCTTAAATCTCCAAAACTACGTGACGGATTTTGATGCTGTTTTTTTAGTAGATAGTGTGATTGAAGAGGAAAGTTTTTATGTATAACTAGGTACTCCCGCGCGATTTCACCCGCTGCTCGGCTTCATTTGATTGTAGCGTGATGTTTTATAGCCTATAGCACTCAGGAACAATGTAGCTATCTATCAGTGAAATAATTTTGGTAATATTAATTAAATAGTGAATAAAAGTAAATAAAAAAAGATAACATTCATTAAATAGTGAAGAAATTTAGTATCAGCTTGCATCCATGCGAAGCCAGGGCGAGTCGCTAGTATCCTATATCCAAACGTATATTATAAATTCGAAAGTAACTCTGTCTGTCTGTCTTTTCTTCACGCCTAAACTACTGAACCGATTTCTGTGAAATTTGGTATAGACATAGTTTGGAACTCGAGAAAGGTCATTAAATAGCTTTTCAAACAAAAATCTGCACGAAGTCACTATTCCACGCGAACTTGTTTGTTTTTTTTAATACCAATATGAATGTTTTTTTTTTCAGAAACGTCAGAACAAAATCATACTCAGAATAAGCCTATTTGGAAGCGAGGACTTACTGAGCTGTCATTGCTGACTAGATTAAAGTCTATAGCGCAGACGAAAAAAGAAAATTCGAATAGACACGAAGAAAATCAAGATAGGTAAGTTTTTTTTTAATGTAGTAAGTCGGCAAACTAGCGGACGGATTACTTGATGGTAAGCAATCAACGCCGCCCATGGACACCCGCAACGGAGGAGTTACGAGTGCGTTCCCGACCTTTTAGGGATTAGGGATTTGGAGATTTAGGGATTGGAGAAGGGTCCGGGAATGGGAAGGATTGGGCCTCCGGTAACCTCACTCGCACGGCGAAACACAACGCTGTGGTTGTTTCACGCCGGTTTTCTGTGAGGCCGTGGTATCACTCCGGTCGAGCCGACCCGTTCGTGCCGAAGCTTGGCTCTTCCACACTTATAGTTTAAACAAAAACTTGTGATTTTATATAAAAAATGAATGTTACCTGATACCTAATTGTTATCCTACCATAGGCTGGCAACACGCTAGCATTGTAGCAATTGGGTAGTTTCCTAGGTCAAAAATAAATTAATTCGACGTTTCAATACAATTATCATCATCATCATCATCATCATCAGCCTATAAATGCCCACTGCTGAGCAAAGGCCTCTTCTCACACGGAGAAGGTTAGCATTAATCGCCACGCTTGCTCAATGCGGGTTGGCGATTTCAAACTTATAATTAGAAATTATAAGTCCAGGTTCCCTCACGATGTTTACCTTCACCGTATGTCAGTGATGGCTAAATGGTCATAGAAAGTACATATAACTCGGAAAAAGTCATTGGTACTTGCCAGGTTTCGAACCCACAACCTCATGCATGAGAAGCGGGCTCCTTAACCTCCAGGCCACCACGATATATTCATCTATTCATAAGTCAATACAATAAAATATTGAAAATTATCTATACTTTTATTCATCGATCGATCGATACACTGAATTTTAGATTTTTTTAGCTAATTATTAAGAAATAAGTAAGCTATTTGACGCAAAAATGTTATGACGTCATAACTCAGTTTTTCATACAAATTTCATAGAAAAGTATCGTTTTTGACGTTTGAATAAAAGTATTGAATTTGACTAGATGGAAACTACCGTATTCATTTGGTGTTGCACGGTTGGCGCGGTGGCTGGGCAACTGGTAGCCGCGCAACGTGTCGCGGTTTCAATTCCCGCACGGAACAACTCTTTGTGTGATCCACAGATTGTTGTTCCGGGTCTGGGCGCGATGTGTATGTGAAATTGTATGTTTATAACCGCACCCACGACACAGGAGAAAATCCTAGTGTGGGTTGCCCCACGTTTTAAAAAAAGTGTGTTGAAAAATCCAAAATTAATTTTTGACCTCAGAAACTGTTTTGATATTTCAGTAGAGGTACAACGATATCTTCGCCGGCCAAAGTGGTGCACAGATCCCGTCCCGAAGGTCGAGCGGATACTATGCGTCGGAGGAGCAGTTCTTTAAGTAATGGTAAGAGTTTCTTCTTCTTCTTCTTCTTATATTCTCCTACCAAAAAGAGAATTTGACTTAGATTGCAACCGCCATCGACGAAGTATCATATATATCATATCATACATATTATTATATTTTTCTATGATTATTAAGACACCACTCACATACGGTGAAGGTAAACATCGTGAGGAAACCTGGACTTATAATTTCTAATTATAAGTTTGAAATCGTCAACCCGCATTGAGCAAGCCTGGTGATTAATGCTCAAACCTTCTCCGTGTGAGAAGAGGCCTTTGCTCAGCAGTGGGCATTTATAGGCTGATGATGATGATATATGGATCAAATATAATAAATGATGGTGCATAATCAAATATATATTATCTCTTTCCAAGCAGACGTCCCCCCATCGATGTCTGTCCCCGCCGCCCTGCCGGCGCTGACCCCGCTCCGCGCGCGGCAGGCGGCCTGTCTACGCGCCGAGCAACGCCGCGGGGCCGCACTAGTCGCCACCGTCAATACTACACATCCTCCTGTCTTTACCGATTACCAAAATCAAGTTTGGTAAGTTGTATTTATAAATGTCTTTATTGATATTTTTAACTAGCGGTCCGCCCCCCGCTTCGCACGGGTCCAACTATCTCGATATCAAAGGGTCACTTTTTCCTAATCTTCCCTCTACTTTTCTAATATTTTCTTTGATAAGAATCTTCTCCTGACAATAAAAAACACAACAAAAAAAGAATTATCAAAATTGGTCCAGGCATTGTTGAGTTATGCGCTTACCAACATATTTTGCGATCCATTTTCATATATTATAAAGATTTGTTCAATGTGATAGGTCCGCAATTGAGTAGATGGATTACCTGACGGTAAGCAATCGGCGCCGTCCATAGACACCCGCAACACCAAAGGAGTTACCACCAAAGGACTGCACGGTTGGCGCGGTGGCTGGACAACTGGCTGCCGCGCAACGTGTCGCGGGTTCGATTCCCGCACGGAACAACTCTGTGTGATCCACAAATTGTTGTTCCGGGTCTGGGTGTGATGTGTATGTGGAATTGTATGTTTGTAAACGCACCCACGTCACAGGAGAAAATCCTAGTGTGGAGCAACGTTTTAAAAAAGAAAAGAAAAAAGTAAGTTACGGGTGCGTTGCCGGCCTTTTAGGGATAAGGGGTTCGCATACTTAAGGATTGTGAAAGGACGAGGAAGATCATTTTGTATTTATTTATAAATTAAACTAGCTTCGCCCGCGTGATATGTTAATAAAAAGTAGCCTATTTCCTATTCCGATTGAGTAACAAACATCCAAATATCGATCAATTCGATTTTTTTTTATATGATAGGTCGGCTACTGAGCTAACGGATTACCTGATGGTAAGCAATCAGCGTCGCCCATGGACACCCGCAAGGATGGGGAAGTTACGAGTGCATTTTCGAACTTTTAGGGATTTAGAGATTTTGGGAAAGGGAACGGACTGGGGTAGGGGAAAGATTGAACCTCCGATAACCTTTGGTTATTTCACGCCGGTTTTCTGTGAGGACGTGGTATCACTCCGGTCGAGCCGACCCATTCGTGCCGAAGCATGGCGCTCCCCCACGTTTTACTACTTGGTATTTATAATATTAGTAAGTTGATGTGATATACATGTCTGTCCCGCAGGATAGCGTGGTGGGGTCCGTGTGGGGTCCGTGCGTCGGGTCGCGCGGGGGACCGCGTGGCGGCGCTCGCCAGTCGGAGCCCGCGCGACGCGCTACATGCACGACAACTACTCAGCGCTGCCAACACTCGTACCGTCAGTATATTTATCAATATAGTTGTCAAACATCGACAACCTATCAGGGGCCCGAGTCTACTATTCAAAGTCAAAGTCAAAGTCAAAATAATTTATTTCAATTAGACCCATACAGGCACTTTTGAACGTCAACACAACTTTAAAGATACAAAGTGTCAGTCTGTCGGTCAGTCCTCTTAGTGAAGCTATTTGCTCGTTCCAAAGTGTAGATTCCGATGGAGAAGAACGAGCAAGAAACTCCATTGTTACTCTTTTAAAATCAGTGTCACATAAACATTCTTTGATACATTATTTAGTTAGTTTGAATATGTGAGAACAGTGTAACGCGTGTATACAGAGAAACATAAAAAGAGAATAATATATTTTCAAAGTGTTGTCATTCCTACACGATTCCATTGTCATTTTGCTAAAACTTCGTAATCTGTTAATTCAAAATGGCTGATCATTGGCGTTCGGCGATGTCGTAATAGTATTATAGTACGAGATGTCTTGTAAAGAATTATAAACAATAACTGCACATTAATATTCTAAACGAAAAAATCATTGAATAAAGGAACTGACATTTTTTTATTAATTTACCGCATTATGTCAAATATTCATTTGTCATTATGTACGAGATTACCGTTCTAAAGAATTATTTCAATGAAGTGGCATTGGTTGATCATTAAAAAGTCATAATGATGCTATCGTGTTAGTAGATTACCAAACATGTCAAAATCAACAATTTTGCAACCAATGATCTACTATTCTGACACTATTGTCATAGCAGACTCGAGGCCCAGGCTAAGCTCCTAGCATCATAATCAACAAGTTTTGTTCTATGACTTAAAAAATCATCACATTTTAAACTAGCTTCCACCAGCGGCTTCGCCCGCGTGCTGTGTTGATAAAAAACAGCGATTACTTATTATTCGAACTGCTAAGCTATCAGGAGTTACACGTGCTATTGTGAGTTAACCATAAAAGATAGATATATGCTGTAGAAAAGTAGTTTTTGAGAATTTTATGTACAATATTTCCGTCATACATAATTTCTATGTAACTTTAACCATTAAGGTTACACACGCGACGGAAGCTTTAAAAAGGGAGTAACTTCTCCCGTTTTCCTAACATTTTCCTTCACTGCTCTGCTCCTTTTATTTGTAGCGTGATGAAAAGTATCCTATAACCTGACCAGGAGTATAAAGAATAATTGTACAGAGTTTTGTTAAAATCCGTCCAGTAGTTTTTGTTTGTATAAGGAACATACAGACAGACAGACAAAAATTTTACTGATTGCATTTTTGGCATCAGTGTCGATCACTTATCACCCCTGGTAGTTATTTTGAAAATATATTTAATGTACAGAATTGACCTCTCTACAGATTGTTTATAAGTGCAGATCTTCAATTTTTCTTCTTTTTTAAATCATCAGTGGATTTAGACACCACTGACAGACGGTGAAAGAAAACATCGTAAGGAAACCTGGACTTATAATTTCTGATTATCAGTTTTTTTTTCGTTTCCATTGACGGGATCACAGGTTCCCGGACCTTTGGAAGTAGTACGAGGGGCCGAAGCCAACTCGCAGAGGCCCGTTGAACAACCTTAATTTAAGTAAAATGGGACATCAGCCGGCAATTATCCCTGTATGCACTATGAAAGTGCACCCAAGGATAATCCCCGGTTGATGCAGGACTATTGTGCAATGTGGTAATAATTGAAAGGGTTATGGGTAAGGGCTGCTATGGACTGGTGGATATGACCTGACCAATATTGATACATACGGATAATTAGTTTTTTTATGATTATTATTTATTTGAGTTCGTTTGACCTCTATCACGCTTCATGGAAAGCAATGATGGGGCTAAAATGGAACACGGAAGCTTAAAAAAAAATTAGTTTGAGTTTTTCAATATTTTATTGCATTGAAACGTCGAATTAATTTATTTTTGACCTAGAAAACTAACCAATTGTCTGTTTTTGAATGTTTCAGGTCGACATACTGTTTCATCGGGTGCCTTTAGGAAAAATATATGTTGTTAATAAGAGGGATCAAGAAGCTCTAGGTAATTAATTTTTATATCTATACTAATATTATAAAGAGGTAAAATTTGTAAGTTTGCATATTTGGAACCGGTGATCGGATTGCTAAAATTCTTTCACTGATAGGTAGCTTTTTTTGTCAGGGGAAAATCATCAAATCACTTCTCCCGTCCAGGGTTAGGCGAGAGAGAGTGTCAAACTCTTACTGACTAAAAACCCCCCTGTTCCTTCTCCTGCTCTGGGCCGAGGTCGCGGTGCCTCATTGCGCTTGCCCCGCAACCCCGGCTGAACATGAGCCCTATAGGGCCCCGTCTGCGGTGGTCTATTGGCTCTTTGAGGCGCGCGCGGAACGCTACGCGCCGTACGCTCGGGTCTGGTTCTGGTCGGGCGGCGAGCTACCCTTACTGGCGTCCGCAGACCCGCGCTTACGGTGGTCGGAGATCACCTCTCGACTGATAGATAGCTACATTGTTCCCGAGTGCTATAGGCTATAAAGCATCAAGCTACGATCAATTGGAGCCGAGCAGCGGGCAAAACCGCGCGAGAGTAGCTAGTAATATATAATTGTTTTCGTTAAGGACTTTTCACAACCAACAAAGTTAGTAAGATTGCAAGATCAGTGCTGTCGCTTGGCAACTACTGCGCAACGTATCGCGAATTCGATTCCCGCACGGAGCAACTCTTTGTGTGTTCTACAAATTGTTTATCCAGGTCTGGGTGTGATGTGTATGTGCATTTGTATGTCTGTAAACGCCCCCACGATACAGGAGAAAATTCGAAAGTGGGTCAACGTAACTAACTAAGAAAAGATCTAGTAGTTTGAAGTCACAACGCGATTCTTATTCCCGCGCGCGCCTCATAGAGCCAATAGACCACCACAGACGGGGCCCTACAGGGCTGATGTTCAGCCGGGGTGGAGGGGTAAGCGCAATGAGGTACCGCGACCTCGGCTCAGAGCAGGAGAAGGAACAGGGGGGTTTTTAGTCAGTAAGAGTCTGACACTCCCTCCCATTCCTCACAAAAACGCCTCTTATTGATAAGCACCGTGCATGGCCGACTATCCTACGACTTAGGCCTCACAGAGACTTCTAAAACCATGATATTTTGTTCCAGGCCTAAAGTTGGACAATGAATGTAATATAACGGGCGTAGTGGCGCAATCGGCCTGCGCCCGCGCAGGCCTACCCCCACCTGGAAACTGGGCCCTCACCGAAATCAACAATCGACCTATCAACTTGCTGAAGGTATACTACTTAATTTATCTATATTCTAGGTATACTTATATTATAAAGAGGTAAAATTTGTAAGTTTGTATGTAGGGGGTAATCTTTGGAACCGCTGGTCGGATTGCCAAAATTTTTTCACTGACACTTCCATTTAATCGTAGCGTGATGTTTTATAGCCTATAGCACTCGGAAACATTGTAGCTATCTATCAGTGAAAGAATTTTGGCAATCCGACCAGCGGTTCCGAAGATTACCCCCTACATACAAACTTAAAAATTTTACCTCTTTATAATATGAGTATGGATGTATAGTTTTATCCTATATGCGTATGTTTAATATAACAGGGAGGTGAAGAAGATATGAACCGTCTAAGTAAGCATGGAACAGAAGTATCAATACTAATACAGCCATCAGCTTTTGTAAAGAAACTACGGTCCGCGCTCAAAGGCAACAAGACTTTATTAGGTTTGAGATAAGAGTGAATTTTGAATGTATTTTTTGTATATACATATATATTTTTAATTTATATCCTTGAATGGCTTCAGTCAGACGCTAGGAGTGTTCCTAAACTAAAGGGACGCGAAAACTACAATGAGTGGGCGTTCGCGGCTGAAAATTTTATGATATTGGAAGGCGTCGATATCAATAAGAAAGAAAGCGAGGCAGCAACTAGCGTCGAAGATCAAATCTGTGAAAAATCGTCGCTCATTCTCACCTACCTTCAATTTGTAATAGAAAAACTTTTTCAATGGTTTAGACCTAGACTAAAAAAAACCTTGTTTTTAATAAGGCCGTAAAATTCCATAGGTACCATACATATATACATCGTGACTTTTTAGTCGTCTTACAAAAGTTGTCCACTTAATGTATCCGACATAAAATACCTCTAGGCGCGATTATTATTTTTTTTATCATTAATTAAGATAATAGGTACGAAAAATATTAATAAAACATTAGAAATATGAAACACCCTGTTAAAAATCTTTACATCAAACTGTTGAGTATCCTCCATCTAGATTTTCTACGAGACAAAATATCGCAAACCAATCTAGCATAGCCCACGTGGACTGTTGTCCAATCAGATTGTCTAACGCTATCCTTAGACAACGTCGGCGCACGCGATGCCCCGCCCCTTTCACTTGAAATTAGGTGAAAGTCACTCTTACTGAAGCTTAGGCTCGGACCGCGCTTGCGAAGAGTGTTTCTTAAACTACGCCTTGCGTCATAATAATGAATAATATTTTTATTTTTAATTTATATAAATCTCATTATTTTTTTATTATGAACTTTTACTATAGTCAGAATTTTAATTCGATTCCTGATTTGACATTGACCACTGTCATTTTGTGAAATAATGATACCACATATAACAGTGTAGTGATGAACACAAAAATCGATAAACAATCACTGAATCAGTTTCAGGGAGGCATTCAAAAAATTACGGCTACCGAATGGTCTAAATGTGTATCCCATGTTTTCAAAGAAGAGGAAAAAATGAGTAATCTAGATATGTTAATTGACAATTAATATTACAGACACAATTCATAGTAAATGATACATAAAGTAACAGCTATAGCGACAGCGATGACGGCGACAATTTATAAAATGTTTGTCACGTAAGGAACGTGTGAACATGATCACATTTTTTATTACCACACACAATTACAAAAGAAAAGTCTCAGATCGTTAATTAATTGTCAAAACTAAATTATTGGTTCAGAAATATTTTATTTCCTGATAAACTTAAGTTTACGAGAGTAAATTTATAAACGAGAGGAATCGATTCAGATATATTCGATTTCCATATCGAATAATTTCGCAACGTCACTATTTATTACTTTTCATAACGTTGCCACACTGAAATTGTCAAATCTGGAATGGAATTAAAATTCCGAGTATAGTCATTGGATACATGAACTGGGCTGCCTTTGTAAGACGACTAAAAAGTCACGGTGTATATGAAAATCAATGCCACTTTTCGTTGTAATGTTTATAACTCAAGAATGCCTTTACCGATTTGGTTAATTTTGGTCTTGAATTATTCGTGGAAGTCCAGAGAAGGTTTGTATCATACAAACCTTCAATCAGCCCTAATGGGCCGAATATTTGAGGTGACGAGTTAAACTTAAGCCTGTAATATGTAATAACTTTTTTTCAGCTAGATAAATGGTAGCTCGGTCACAATATTTCTATACAATTGAGGAGTTTTGATAAATAATTATATTTAATGTTTATTTCGAATTGTGTGTTTTTTACATCAAATTACCTAAATAAATATTTTTTTTTGGAAATGAACTAGAAAAATAGCTATATAAACTATAAGTAGGTAGGTTTTTATATAGAAGATGATAAAAGTACTCCAATTTGACCGATTGTAAATTACATAGTATTTTGGATTTTTACAATATTCCAAATAATAAATATAAATAAATAGTTTTTTTATAAATATCATCAAAAATTGTGAATTGATTAAAATTATCAAGCTTAGTTCCGTAACTTTTTCGAAGATGCTCGAAATTTTCGACGTGCACTAATTTTAACGATTATGAGCTCCGGCGTAGCTTGAAACTAGACGAATGTCCTCGAAAATTTTACTCTAATAAGTGGTATCTTTTAATTAATTTCATAATTGAATAAGTAATAGATGACAGATTGTAAAATTTACACACATATTGTAAATAATATGTACTTTTTGACTATGGGAACAATTTTTTTATACTTTTTATAATAATATGTAGATTATGTACTCTATGATACATATAATACATAATATGTTTTTTTATTGTAATCATAAGGATATACACATCATTTTTATAAAAGTTATTCTGACTTAGATATTGTAAAAGTAATAGTTGTTTGAAGGTTCGTGTCATTTTTTGGATTGAACTTATTTTTTCCCGCGGTGTTTTTCGTATTCCTGTCTACAGAAAGACTTATTTAGCAAGATGTATTTTATTTTACAATTTCGTTCAAATGCTTGTACTCTGCAGCATTTTGTTTTTAAGAATTTTATTTGGTTTCAGTTCTAATAATGAGGCTTACGGCGGACCATAAAAACTAGGACCGAGGTCTCAGTAGCGGATCCGTATAAAATATTCCTAATTAACTCACAAAATGGACTCGAGTGAGAGTATTATTGTGTGAATGTGCGAATTATTTAAAAAACAATGTAGCTTAATAACTAACTTACAGCTAAGGGTAAAATAATCTCTTGAAAAATGATATATTTTCTTCTTTTCACTGTACCAATTTTAGCGTGAATACTCGTTTTTTTTTTAAATTATCTGTGATTGGTCCCAGTCGTCAAAAGTTTTTTTTACGGAGCCGGCAACTTGGACCACTGTTCGAGTTTTTGTGGTCCCTGTCTCCGGAAGCCTGCTAATATAATATGACCCATTATTTTCAGTCACATTTTTTTAAGTGATGAATTTAAGGATTTTTTTTAAACTTTACTGTAAGTACCTAGTGATGTGATTATATTCAAAATTTATAACTATATGAGTTTGGATGATTTTGGTATTGAGCGCGTATTTTTTTAACATTTAAGACCAAATTGTGTATAATAAATTAATTTATAGTTACGTTGTAGATGAAAAAATTAAGAAATATCTTGATCTATTTTTTATTCCAAAAAGTCAATATTTTTTTCTATGTATAAAAATTTTAGATGTAAGTTATAAGCAATCATTAATTGTGATACATATTACTATGTAATATATAAGGGTATTCATCGCTAACGAGACTAGAATCAATTTTTACTTTTAAATTTTTACCAATAAGGTATATTTTTCATTAACATTGCACTTTATTATTACTATTATTTTGGTTTGGAAATCAGTTATACTAATTTTTAAAGCATCTATTTTATTGGAATGCTATGGTCGTTACTACAAAGGTCAAAGTCGTTTATAAAGCGATCAGCATAGCTTTACTGAGCAAAAGATTTGAGCATTAATCACCACGCTTGGTCAAGGCGGACTGGCGATTTTAATAATAGGTCTATACCTATGAAATTCCCATTTTGCATTAAAAAATTTAAACGAATTTTTTGATTTGAAATGCGATGAAAATATAACACTAATCAATAAACAAATAACTACATTTGGAAAAAGAATCCCATGTTTTTTTAAAAAAAAAAATTAGCCTTAGCCTAACAAAAACTATTTAGATTTGAAATGGCCAGTACTGCAGAACGGCAATTTTATAGGTAAAGACCTATTTTAGCTACTTGATTTCGCCAATTCGGTTCTAGAGGTTAATTTTTTTTTCAATCATTTATAACTTAAGTCCAAGTAGGTTTAAGGAATATAAAAGTCAAATTATTTTCTATGACGATATTTTAAAAATAATTTCTCATATTTGTATGTTTTCATCATCTGTGGCCTAGTGGTTTTTCGAATAACTTCTTTACTCCGATTTGAAAGTAAAAGCCAAAATTTCGACCGAAATTTCAAGTAAAAAAAAACATTGTTTTTAAAATTTATTTAGGGCTGTTTTTTCAATGGTTAGATAAAAGTTACCTGGGAATAATTATGATGCTGTCACGTCAGAATGTTTGTATAAGACAGTGACAGCAACAATTTTATTCCTCAGTTAACATTTATCTGACTATTGGAAAATCAGCCCTAAATCAATTAAAACATAGCTTACCCGTTAAAGTAGTATAAATTATCTGTCCCTATCTATGTATGCTTAAAACTTTAAAACTACGCAAACGATTTTGATGCGTTTATTTTTTTTTAAAGATAGAGAGTTTTATAACATCCTTTAAATTGTGGAGAAATTTTGTATCAGAAATGCATTCGTGCGCTTAAAAATTTTTTGTATTTGTTTGTTTGAACGCGCTGGTATAACTACTGGGTAAAATTGAACAATTCCTTTTATAATGGACTAGCTGCTCGGCTCCATTTGATCGTAGCTTGATGTTTTATAGCCTATAGCAATCAGCAACATTGTAGCTATCTATCAGTGAAAGAATTTTGGCAATCCGACCAGCGGTTCCAAAGGTTACCCCCTACATACAAACTTACAAATTTTACCTCTTTATAATATTAATATAGATAGTCTATATATTTTATCAAGGTAGGCTTTAGGCTGTAAAACATCACGCTACGACCTTTAGTAGTCGAGCAGCGCAAACTGAGTAACTAATGCCGAATCAAAGGCCCCAGTGTGAATTGAAACGAGTTGAACTTTTCTCGACCCTGCACGGGATAGCTGTATTTTTAATGTTTTTTTTATGTAACCCTTATTTTTATATAAGAATACATTTAAACGGCCTCGATACAAGACTTTTTCGATCTCTAAAGAATCTAAATAACTATTTATTGGAAATTAAATATAATAATTATTTTTATTATTATCTCGAATTCGTTTTATTGTTTCTTTTTCCTGTTAACTCTGTAATATATCCATTGGTAGAATCAGAAATAGCCCTTGAATTATTTAAACATAATATGCTTCAGTTAAAATGTGTTAAAATTCTAAACCTACTAAGCTAATCTATCGGCAAATAGGTTATTAATTATTAAGACTAAGAAATATGCACGCATTTTGCATGATTGTATGGTATAATAAAAAAAAACCTATTTTATACTTATAGCCTATCGGGTTTGGTGGTTAAGTAAAGGTAAACAATGTTTGTGTGTCTTTTAATATCATCATCATCATCAGCCTGATGTCGTCCACTGCTGGACATAGGCCTACCCAATTGCACGCCACTAAGCTCGATGTTCAGCTCTTCTCACCCAACCAGCTGGAGGCGTCAGTCCACCTAGCTGAATGGCGCCCTACACTACGTTTGCCTAGACACGTGGTCTCCACTCTAGAACACTTTTACCCCAGCGGTCATCGGTTCTTCGACAGATGTGATCTGTCCACTGCCACTTCAGTTTGCTAATCCTTTGGGCTATGTCGATAACTTTAGTTCTCTGTCGGATCACCTCGTTTCGAATACGATCCTTCAGACAGACTCCAAGCATAGTCCTTTCCTTAGCTCGCTGCGCGACTTTAAATTGGTGGATCAGTCGCACTGTAAGTGTCCACGTCTCGGCTCCGTATGTCATCTCTTTTTATATTAAAGAGGTCGTATAAAATACATACAAGTATTATTTAAATTTAGTTTATTAGCTAAATCGATATTGATTTAGGTTTGAAAATATTTTTACGTACAAATTTTAAACAACTTTTGGATAAAAAGACATGCCGAGATTGTTTACATTTAGTTAATTACCTAAAATTATAGACCATACTGATTGAACCTTCAGCAAGAATAGCACGTGCGTTACTCAAAAATATATCTATCTCGGTGCCAAATTTCATTCAGTCCAGTTCAGTAATTTCACGGAATGAGTAACAAACGTCCATACATAGGTACTAACTTTCGCATTTGAATACCTAGTAGGGGTTGAATACCTACCTTAACTATCAGACTGATATTAAAAAAATCATCATCCTTATTTTGAGAATTTTATGTTACCTAAGTACTTTTGTACAGTACGACCGACGTATCTTGGCGAGTGTGAAGTTAGCCGTTTGTCTGCGCAATGGATCTTTTAGGAACAAAATTACCTATGTACTGCGCAAAT